CCTCCTCTTCTGGCTTAGGAACAATCTGCTCTTTTTCAGTGAGGATCATCTCAGCGTGGCAGGGGCAGCTCAGGTAGGGGTCACCTGCCCATAAGCTCTGTGTGTTCTGCGCTGCATCTTGGGATCCTTGTGCACCAGGATGTGCTCAGTGACCAGAGAATCTGCACCTAAACCCTTCAGTTCACATTACTCTGCATGTTTAAGCACGTGTAGAAAGAATTCAGCACTCTTTTTAGGCTACCGACCCTGTGACTGGCTCCATTGTTTGGCCTGGGCACACCTACCACCTCACCATTGTAACGACAGAATGGCACACATCGCTTCTGTAAAGTGACATCCTTCAGCTACTTGGTGGCTTTTCAGATATGCATACCCTTGATTGCCTGGGCAGTTTCACGCGTGTTCTTAAAGTGAACACAAAGATTTGAACCTCTTATTTATTTTCTTGCAGTATGTAGGCTATGATGCCAGCACAGAGTTCGGCAGAAGGAATGGTAGCAAACTCCCTTGTTCTGTTTCCCACCTCGGGATTTGAAATCTATCCCTACTTCCTTTTTCCCCCCGTCATTTTTAAAATTTATTTGCTTGTTTATTTTATTGAGGTAACATTGGTTTATGACATAGAAGTTTCAGGCATGTAACATTATAATTTGACATCTGTGTGTGCTGCAGTATCTAGCCTCTCTAACAGTACGTGTGAGAGTCACCCATATTGTTGTGCGGGGTTGTGGGTCGCTCATCCTCATATTGTTCCGTTGTGTGAATAGACTGCTGTTTATTTACCCATTCTACTGGTAATAGGCCTTTTGGGTAGTTTCTACCTTTGGCTAGAATGAACAATGATGCTGAGAACATTCTGGTACACGTCTTGGTGAACATAGGTGTGCATTTCTGTTGAGTATATACCTAGGAGTAGAATTAATGGCTTCTAATAGCTCTTTAAAAGTCCTCAGTTGAGACTGAGTGCCTTTTATTAGTTTTTCTTGCCTACTTCTGAAGAGTGCTCCCATCCTCTTCCCCCTCCCCTCCCCTCCCCCCCCAATAAAAAAGCCACAGTTTGCTAACATCAGCATCTGGCACATGGTTGCGCTTCTTTCTTAGTTGCTTGGTGATCCGTGTAGACTTTAACTCCAAATCAACCAACCCTTATTGTTTTTGATAGTTAAAAAAAACAAAAACAAAAACCATTGTAGACTCTGGATGGCATTTGTGATGATTTTAGTAGCAGATTTTTGGGAGATTTTAGTTCAAGGATGGCTGAACTAAAACATCTCTAGAAGTTGTTGGACTAATAAGTAAAGACCAATGTCTCATTTTTTTTTGAAGGTATTGTATGCCAGTGAACATGTGGGCTTCTTGCCCTTGTTAAGTGAAGAACTCTGGGGGGCGGGGTGCCTAAACTCTAATGAGGAACCAGCTTTCCTCCTGAAAAAGCTGGGGCGGCTATGGTTCTGGCTTTGGGATTGCCGTTGGGTTGAAATGAGATGCTCCCCTTTGAATCTTCTGGCATGTGAGCCGTGCAGTCCTGTCTGCAGGTTCTGGGCTCTGGGTGCTACACTTGGCTGACTCTTAGGGGATCCACAAAGGCTTTCCAGGGTTGAAAACATGCGTCCACCACTCCTAGACCTGAAAATAAAGCCTTTTCCTTATCGTATTTACATATTGGTTAGAAAAAGGGGGATTTAGTTGGGTGTCTTCCATGGGGATTTCAGAAATAATATATAACATTAGGTCCTTCCGAAGAGACAACTTTCTCCTGGTGTTTTCAAATTATATTTTTAAAATAATACAAAAATCATAAGACTCTTAGATCAATGAAAGCAAGTATAACTCAAGGGTAGGCTTAATGAATGAGGAAGAGAAGAGAGGTATTTTGACAGACACCGATTTCCAAAGAACAGGTGCACACAGTGGCTAAAAATAGTGTCATGTTGTCAGTGTTAGTGAAAAATGTAATCAGAAGAAACCCAAGGTTTCTTTTCTAAAATCAGGCCTTGAGTAACTTACAGGAACATGGGGGTCGTTTAAAGTGTGCATTTGTAAAACTCGGGCCAGTGTGCCTCTCCTAAAAGATTATATTAATAGTCATACACCCACACATAAACATTTTTTTTTAGAAAGCACCTTTTTAATCCACTTTCTTAATTCCAGCCTTTTATAAAATCCGTGAGACAAGGAAGGCAGGAGTCATCAGACAAATGGCATTGAGTAGATGAAGACACAAACTCAAAGGCCTGATTTTCCCAGGCCCCCTGGCTACTTAAGGCCAGGCTTGCTTGCTTCTGGTCTTTATCCCAGTGCTTTTCATAAGCAGGAAGAATCAGGATTGTATAAGCATGACAAGTATAAGTAGTACTGAAAATTTTTACTAATTGTAATTATACCTCATAATAATGATGTCACTTGTAAGAGTCACTGTGAAAATAGGGGTTCAGTATCATCAACTCTGGAGTCAGGCCGTCTGAGACAAATTTCTAGGTCTGCCACTTACTAGCTATTACTTAACCTTTTCTCATCCAATTTCCTCATCTTTGAAATCGACCTCCTGAGTCAGTGTATGTAAATGAACAGAATAGCACACTATTGTTTTAAAACCATTATCCGAAGTAGGACAAGTTTTAGCGTATCATTCCCCTTTTATAGACAGCAGTTGAGGCACAGAAGTGAGCATTTGTAAGCCGAGACTTCAGTCTGGGTCTCAAATTATTGCCAGTGCTCTTTTACTCGCAATTTCTGTGATGAAATTGCGAGTAAACCAAAATGAATTTTAATCAGTTTTGTTTTACTGGTTTAATACACAGTTCTTGGCAGGTCACATTTTAGTACGTAAAGTGCTCCGAGGGTCACATACCTGTGCTACTTGGAGAATGTAACTGGCCAGCTCTGTGTCCGGCCAGGCCCCACAGCTCATGTCTTCCATTCCAGCCACACCCAGGTGTTAGCTGCACTGTTCATTTATTGCACTCTCAGAATCCTTTGGGACTTTGTACTCATTTTCCAAGCCCAAACTTCCACTCCGTTGGGTCCCCTCTTGCTTCTTTGGACAGCCTCCCGACTACTGAGGACTCGGCGCACTGACCATGTCTTTTGTGCTCGTACAATAAGGCACATAACTCTCAAGCCAAAAGCCAGCATTATGCCAGCACTTCGGAAAGTCTGAGAAGACCATCTACTTCGACCACTATGATTTAACATTGTTCTGGAGGGGTTTTCCAGTGAATTAGATGAGAATAGAATAGGATATGACATTTTTTTACAGATAGAGTTCTATACTTGGAAAGCCCGAGCAGCTCAGTTTTCAAATGTTAGAAACAATAAGATAATTCAGTTTTGGTTGGTGTATATGAAGAGATAGAAAGCAATAGCTCTATGAAAAACTAAATGCTATGAAATACTTCTTCCTGGCTGAGAATTGTATCAGTATCACATTGATACCAAGGTGCTGGTTCTAGTTCATTTAGAAAAATGAAATATCGAGACTAGCCAAGGAAATTGTGACAAATGTGAAAGAAAAATGGTAGGAGGATTATTTAATTCTATAACTTTACCAGATACGCAAACATATTATAAAACTAGAAATTAAAATAGCTTGGTATGGGTATAGGAGTTTAATTCCAAACAGCATAGTCTAAAAGTAGACCTTAATAGAAAAGAGAATAAGTATGTGATAAAGTCAATGAAGAAAAGATGGGTTACTTTGTAAATAGGGTTGGGAAAACTGAATGACCATCTAGAAAAATAAGTTGGATTTCTTCCTCACTCTTTAGGTGACCCATGAATGTGCTGCAGTAAAACCGAGAGTACTTTTTAGTGGAGAAGTATCCTGTAAGCATGGTACATGAGGGCTACATTTGCCTACATTAGATTAAACTTTTACATGTCAAACTATGGCAAAAATACCATAAAAACATCCGTCTAATGACAGACCAGAAGATATTTGCAACAGTGAGAAAGGGAAATTTTCACAATATATAAAGAAATGCAAATCTAGCAGAAAAAATAAAGGAAATGCTAAAGTTTTAAAAACATGATTGATGAATATAAAATACATCAAATGGGAGCGTAGAGAGAAGACACATTAATCTACATTTTTGGAGGAAGTATAATGGTTAAACGTTTTTGTAGGCATTTGGCAAAATTTACCAGAATTCAATGCAAGTGTCTGATCTAGCAGATTGATTCACAGGAATTTATATTATATGTACAGGTTTAATGAGGATATTCAAGAATATTCATCGTGGCATTGTAACAGTTTAAATGAAGTTTAGCTATTCATGTAAAAGGGGTACTATGAGGGCAATAAAAATATTTTTTCAAGGGAATGAAACAAGGTATAGAATAGTGCACTCACTGTAAGGTAGGATGAAAAAGGATGATAATAACACATACTATTATTTCCTGAAAGCAATATGAGAAACGGATCTGATGTTGCTAGAAAGGGAAGATCAGGAGAGAGGCTAACTTTTAACTGTAGAACTTTCTGTAATTTTTTCTTGGGGTGCGAGGGTTAATATTGTAGTCCATGTTGCCTAAATAACGCAATGATTTGGATAAAAGATTCCTATTTTACTTTTACCTTTTGAATATGACATTTTTTGACATCCTAGTATTTTTTGGTTTGTCATTCTAGTATTATTATTTTCCTAAATAAAGATATTACTGCATTGTTAGAAATTGACTCTCATTTTTGACAGGCTTTACTGTATGCCTGATCCCCAAAAAGACTAGCCATATTCTGCTATAGTATTGATTTTTTTCAATTTGTTTAGAAATATTTATATTTATTGCTTATTTTATTCAACTGATTTGTAAATTGATGTGATTGTAACTGATACGAGCTTTTCTTCACTTGTTTTCTAGAATGATATTGGTGGTGTCCCTTTAGTAGGTCTCCTCATTGAAGAGAACGTTTTACAAGAGTTAATTTTGTTTAGTTAAAAGAAAAAAAATTTACCCGGGCTTAGAGAAACTAACAGCTGTGTTTATTTTGATCCTGACAGATTTGGAGGCCAATCACTGCCACCTTTTATTTCCCTGTGGGTCCAGGAACTGGATTTCTTTATTTGGTCAATTTATATTTCTTATATCAGTATTCTACACGACTTGAAACAGGTATGTTATCCATAGTTTTAAGTATTGTTTCTGTTTAATTTCCATGTTTACTTGTTGGAGGAATTTTAAGGGCATTTAGCAAATAAAAGAAATGACATAATGACAGGAAGTGCTCAGTAAGTTGTAGCTGTGCCAGGACCGTACTAGGCACCTAGGATATTCAGTTTTTAATCCTCACAATGTCATTATGAGGTGTAAGTAGCAGTGTCTCTGTTTAATGGGTGGAAAAAAAATAAAACTGAGGTTTACACATTTTGCCCATGTCCTTAGTGGCTGAGCTGTGTGCTTGTCATTTAATTTGACATCTCTCTCATTTCTGTCACACAGCAGTCCTTGTCTTTCAGTGCACGATCATGTTAAAGTATGTGTATCTCCTAGATTGGGGTTGAAAAACACTGCATTATGCAATTAAAAGCCGAGGCTCATTCTCTGTCATTGAAACAATTTAAAAATATATAGCTGTGGTTTAGAATATCAGTTTATCAGATATGACTACATCTATTATGTTATGGATAAGCTTTTTAATAAAAATCTTTTCTTATAAGGTTTCTTACTGATTGTTATTTATTTTCTATACTACCTTACATGCTCTTCTGAGTTGCTTACACCGAGAAGCCATAAATTGATAACTGCTGTGTCAAAATGTGAATATAGTGATTTTGAAAAGGCTGGCTGACTTCAGAGATTTTATAAACCTGCTGGCCAATGGCTCAGGATAGAGAATTCGGAACCACCCTTAAATCTGTCAGTGTGAGCATTGTGAATTAATCTCATAACTGCAGGGGAATAGAAAGATGGGCATTTACGTGTCAAATATAATTTTTCCTTAAATTGGCATTTGCTATAAGAGCTTTTTAAAAAGAAAGAAATCATCAAATTAATACAAAGCGTCAGGCCTAGACTTGTATTACCCCTGAACTTGGCTGAGGAGACACAGATGCAGGACTCTCACCGCCACTGCATCAGCGGTTTGAGCCTTAAATCCACCAGCACGTGTGATTTGCATATGATTTGCATTCTCCCTCATCCCAGTTGGACCTGAATGTTACTGACTTGCCCTGATACAATTTGATTGAGGATTCAGTTGTTGGAATAATGCTTTTTAAAAATATGTCAATGGTAAACTCTAGATTAAGTGTGGATGATCCATAACCAGTTTTCAAAGTTTTTATTACGGAAAATTTTCAAAGATAAAAGTAGACATTTTTTCTTTTTATTGAGATAAAATTCACGTAACATAAAACTTGCTCTTTTAACTATTTAAAGTGTACAACTCAGGGCTCTTTAGTATATTTGCAGTGTTGTACAGCCATCACTACTATCTAATTTCAGACATTTTCATCACCCCACAAAAAGCCCAAAGCAGTCACTCTCTATCTCCCTTCTCCCCTTCTCCCAGGCCCTGGCAACCAATTTTCTGTTTTCTGGGTGTACGGATTTGCCTATATGGGACATTTTATCAGTCCTCTGTGACTGGCTTCTTTCATTTAGCATGTTTTCGAGGTTCCTCCACATCGTAACATGTACCAGTATGAACCCCCTTTTTAACCATTACTCACCTTTAACAGTTATCTCATAGCCAGCCTTATTCTATCTATATCCATGTCTGCCCCTCCACCCCTGATGATTTGAAGCAAAATGCCAGACACGATAGCATTTCATCTATAAATATTTTAATATTTACCTCTGAAATACAAGGACTTAAAAATGATCGTAATACTGTTATAAAACCTAAATTACAATAATTCCATAACCACTTTTTTTCTGAAAATCGTCTTCCCTTGGTTACTTAAGGTCCTTGAACCCAGCTACCTATCCCTACTACCTAGTCAGGTAATAGAACTAATTAGTAATACCACAGTAACACAATAAATCTGTAGGATTATTAGGCATGGCTCTTTTTCATTTGCTTTAATCCTAGAAGTTGCCCCCTCTCCCACCGTCCAATCACAGAGCATTTTGAAATTCTAGAGCCGAGAGGCATTTTTTAAAAGTTTTCTTGATGCATAATTCATATACTGTGTAATTCCTCCCATTTTAAGTATACAATTCAGTGGATAGTCATAGAGTTGTGCAGTCATTACAATCACTGTTAGAATATTTCATCACTGCAGAAAGAAACCCTCCCCATTCCTGTTCACCCCCGTCCTTCCTCCCAGGCCTCAGACGACCATTTTCTGCCTCTTTAATTGACCTGTTCTGGACATTTCTTATAAATGGAATCATATAATATGTGGTCATTTATGACCAGCTTCTCTCATTTAGCATAGTGTTTTAAAAGTTCTTCCATGTAGCATGTATTATTATTACTTATTCCTTTTTATTGCCAAATAAGATTCCGTTGTATGGAATTACCACCTTTTGTTTTTTCTGTTCATCAGTTGACGGACATTTGACTTCTTTTCACTTTTTGGCTGTTATAAATATTGCTGCTATGAACATTCCCATAGAGAGGAACTTTTGAGATCCTTCCATTTAAATAAGATTTCACAGACAAGAAGTGATGACCTGCCCCAAAGGTCGCAAAGCCATGTGAGGCAACACAGCTAGGACCAGAACTCGGGATTACTGATTCTCGGTCTGCTCTTCACCAAACAGCCTCAAGATAACATTTTGACAAAATATTTGCCACCTGCATGTTTTCCTGCCCGGCTCAATTAAGTATATATAAGAAGCTTTGGCTTATTTGTAAGGGTTCTGATTTGAACAGGATGCCTGCAATTTGAGACCAGTTAATTTGTAAATTCTCAGTTGGAAGCCTGCCAAATAATAAACTACTATAGTTTATGTGATTATAGTATTTTAAATATTCAGTTGAAAGAATGCTTAGAAATCACAAAGCCAAAACCACATCAAAAGATACAACAGTATTATTAAAATTCAGAAACATGTTAGAATTTCAGCTCTGATTCATCACAGCAATCCTCTACCATGAAGCATCCTTAGCACTGTGGCTAAAGTGTGCCTTTGAGGTACCAAGGGAGAAATAAAGAGAAAAAAGGAGAGACTTTAGCTGGAAATCCATTTTCTTTTAGATGTTTTTTTTCTGCCTTTCTGACACTTGTTAGGATTTTTAAAGAGTAACTATATATCATAGAAGCGTGATGGGGTGTGGAGGGGAGGGAAGGTGACCGCTTGAGCTAGAAGTGACCTTACAGTCATTTGTGTCTTTGCTCTGCATCTAGATTCTAGACTACCAACCAAAGGCATGAGGAATCACCCTTAGAAGGGAGAGCTGGGCCCGTGTTGATTTTTCTGCCCAGTAATAAGACAGAGCCTGGATACGGTTTAGTGACAAGAGCACTAAATTAGTAATTCGATTTCACTAAGCTCCTAACAAACCATGTGACTGTGCTCACGTACCTGTTTCCTCATCTGTAAAAGGTGGGGGGCGGGGATAGGTCTTTCCATCCTACCTGGCTGGTGTAGTATGAGGATTTAGAGTCAGAGGCTGTGGAAGACTTTGACTGTCCCTCTATTCCCCTGTACGCCGCCCCCCTCCCCCCACAATCAGAGCTTATGGTCTAGTGGAGGGAGAAGGGATTAACCAAGTAATCACAAATGTGTCATCAGGTTACGATGAGAGCAGTGAAGGCAAGGCCGGCGGGCTGGAGGGACGTCAGGGGGTGGCGTCTCAGTAGCTGCGTAGTTGCTTGTCCTCTCTTCGAGTGTCTTTTAGCCCGTGGTCATCAGAGCAGGTTACCTATTGGAATTCAGTTGGGAGAACGCAGGTTGGACTTACTAGGTGACTTTAGTTTGGGGCTTTATTGAGACATGGTTTTGGATATTTTTAAAAAATGTACTCTTATTTGAGAGAAGTGCTTTAAAAATATTCTCATTTTGGCTTCCCTTATAATTTTTGAAGTATTTCTCTACGAAGAAGTGATTTATTTTGTTCTGAAGTTCTGAACCATGACATTTGGCTTATTTTTGTTTCTAGGAGCTTTTGATGGGAGGCCAGCAGACTATTTATTCATGCTCCTCTTTAACTGGATTTGCATCGTGGTATCCTTCAGTCTGTTATTTTGGGCCAGAAATAAACCAGTTTTTTTTTTCCAAGTTTGGGAAAACAGACAGTATTCTGTATAATACTTTAAATCACAGTATTTGCATCTTTGTTTACTACAGTTAGTAAGAATAATTAAAGTTCTTTTTAAAAGCTGTAGTAAATCGTATAGCCCATGAGTGATGCATTCTTCTGCCATCGCCTCTGGGAGATTTTCCCACATTTGGCTGAGCTTTATTACTGATCCCTCTTCTCGTTCCCAGTTCTCTGTGTTCTCATGTGTGACAGCTCGTTGACTGAAGCACAAAGAGGTTTTGGGACATAAGACAGCTTTCGAAATCTGTGGTCCTGATTAGAAAATTAATTTACAACCAGCATCCTTTTCTGGCGTCCTCGCTGTTCTTGCCTTGGGGTCCTAAGTAGGAATTCAGTCCCTCTTTAGGTACCTGGCTCTGGGAAAGGACACAGCATGTGTCTGCTGTGTGTCAACCCAGTTGTCAGCAGCCTTCCAGCTGTGGACCTTTACAGATGGTGAGAGCGGCTGAAGGGATCCGATGGCTCAAGTTCAGTGCTGAGTGGGTGAGCTCGAGCTCTCTTTGGGACTTAACTTCCATCGACACTTGGCCAAGAGCCAGAACATGAGGCACTTGGGATGCCCTTTATCCTCCTTTAAGGGAAGAAAAACTGTTTTGGGCTTCAGCCATGCCACGGAGCCCTGAATATCAGTATAATCACGATTCGTTTCAGAGGGCACAGGCATCTCCGTTTTCTAATGGAAGGAGAGGCACTAAAATGCAGTGACAGAGCAAGGCAGAGAGGGCGCAAGGTGACGATACTGTTAATATGCCAAAGCAGTTAATTTCTTCCATTTCCTTGTCATTGTACAGTCTAATAGGCTATTTATAATGAAGATTATTAGATACCTTTGTGTTCTAGGATGTTTTAAGCAGCCTGAACTATAGAAAGGTGTGTTCCCTCAGAACATTGGAAGGAAATGAACTTTTACTGGATGCAGGATGCTTTGTTTCTATCTGATCTTTAACTTTACAAACCAAGATTACTGGTTTAGCAATGGACATGCAGGTAAGTTGAAACTCTCCATTTGCTCTTTTATATGTTTTAAATTTACTTCTAATGGCCTTTGACAGTTTAAATGGCATTAACTGCAGTTAATTATGTAGTATGTTGAAATTATAGAATTATAGCTGTTTTATTTTGAAGATCTGATACGAGTTAGCTAAGCCATTATTTTTCATACTCGTTTCTTGCGTCTTTATCATGTTTGAACATTGTGAGCGATGGTAATCCCACATGCATGTATGTGGATTTATATTTACATTTTTAAAAAATTGAGACGGTACAGGAAATAAAGCTTTATGACTACTTTTTTCAAGTAACCCTGATATTTCTGAATCCATCTAAAAATTTTGTTGTATTTTAGCCTGGGATATCATAACATACATTATATGATTAATTAAAAGGATCAACTTATAATTCTGATGAGCTGAATTTCTTTTTGCTTTTCGAATAGTCATGTGAGAATTCGTTTGGTGGGGAGAGGTAAAAAAAGAAAAGATAGATTCACACTGCCTCTGACTTCAGGCCTCCGGAGCCTTGTCTTCACCTGTCACCTTCTCCTGCAGTTGCTGATGATCCCCCTGATCATGTCGGTGCTTTATGTCTGGGCCCAGCTGAACAGAGACATGATTGTATCATTTTGGTTTGGAACACGATTTAAGGTACTTTAACCTAGTTGGGAAAATTTCCTTTTCATTTGTCTTTGCAGAAATTCCTCTCCAGCCCAGAGGTGTACTTTCTGACTCGTCCAGAAGAGGTCACTGCAAAGCAGTATACCTTAGGCAAGCCCCGCTCCCTCCCCCAGGCCCCCTGCATTTCTTCAGCCAGCTCAGCGTCCTCACTTCTCCCTCCCTCCATACCTCAGGCCCGTCAGGCATGTGTCCCTGAGTGATTGCGCGTGTGCGTGCGTGCGTGTGTGTGTGCGCGTGCGTGTGTGTGTGTGTGTGGTAGGAGAGGGAAGGAAAGATGTGGAACTGTCCCTTTTAAAATCTGTTCTTACCACTCTCTGTTACGTATTTTACATTTTAGATAAAACATTATTTTTTGCCCCCAAACTCTTCCCTTTTGTGCCTTCTCCTCCCCATTTTCCACCTGTAACGTCTTTTGTATTTTCTTCCTCATATAAATCCCACCCATTCTTAGTTTGAGTCAGGACTGAACGTGTTTCCTGTCACTCGCCTGGACTTAGTCTTGTCATTGGGCTTCCGCCATATATCTTGTGTTTCTCCTATAGTACTTACCGCATTCTGCCTTCAAGTTATTTATGTATAACCCTTTCTTTACTAGTTTGTCAAGTTCTTTGCAGCTCCCTTAGCTCTTGGTATGATGTTTTGAATTTGGTAAGGGGCTCAGATGTTGACTTCATCTGGAGAGCTGCTTACTTGGGAGTGTATTAGCTCAAGATATCAATGTGTAAAGAGATAAAAATTCAGGTAATTTTGTGAAATACATAAAAAGAGAACATGAAAAGATGAGGTGTTTTTAGTTTACGGGTAACAGTTTGCTGGCTGGAGCCTTAATGTGATTCTCTTATGCACCGTGTTTTCATCAGTGTCTGTAGGACAGTCATCTACTTTCTGAAACTATTTTTTAATATTAACTCCACAGGGCATGCGTATATCCGAAGACTATGGGCCAAGCACTCTGTCTTTCCCGTTACTAAATACAGGAATACGTATGATTTTAGATAGGAAGTTTTAAGTGCAATAGGAATGATGCTGGGTGGATCTGAGAAATTTTTGCAGTGACTTTCCAAAGGATTTCTATAAAGCACTTGTCAGTTCATCCCTACCCACTCAGCCCCCCAGCAGGTGTATCCTTTTCAGGTGTGGTTACTCATGTTTGTGTCTGTTCTTTCTTAGGCCTGTTATTTACCTTGGGTTATTCTTGGATTCAACTATATCATCGGAGGCTCGTAAGTAATATTAGATTTATTCAATGAAGCTCATCCTTGGACGATTTCCGTTCTTTATTTTCCTTCTCTAATCTTTATGAAACTTTAAAGAATCTCAACATCAGTGCACTGGAATCTTACACTTACTAAATAATTTCATTTCGATGTAATTGATTAGATTGCAGGGCACTAAGCACATTTATCATTGAATGATTGTTTTTTTCTCTTTGTTAGCTCCTTGTTACAATATGCTTCCATATATGTGTTTTTGAATAAATATTTATTTCTGGATTCACTGTCCAGATTGAGCAAACATAGATCTCATTTGTCTCTGAGCTGACTCCTCTAAGAACTATGCATAATGTTACTGTGTTTTTTATTTCTAAGGCATTTTCAGAATGCCTTGGAAACTGCTCACCAGTCGTGGAAACGCAGATGCTCAGATGGGAAGCAGTACAGAAGTTTTGGTCAAACGGGGTCAAATTTCTAGTCTGGAATTAGAACTTAAGACTTGAGAAAACCTTTAATGTGTCCAATCAGAATTTTAGGGGGAAGATGTCAACATGCAGCCATTCTAAGAACTCCCATTTCTTATACTACAAAATATTTTTAAAGTCTTAATAGATTTTAATAGTATTAGTTCTTAGTACGTCCGACATATTTGCTCTTTGTGGTCCTAACTTCTACTGCAATTGATAGGGAGAAATGAATGAATCAAGCAAAGAGACTCTGTTTAGAGCGTAGCATGAGCTTGGTAAGGCTGCCCTGCCACCCAGAGGGGCAGAGTCTGGGAGCAGCTGCACAAGTTGACTCGTCCCTGACAGGAATCACGTTGCAGGTGAGGACAGGGAAGGATATGTAACAGTAAGAATGGATCTATAAGACCTTGACGTGGCCTGGCCTATATGTAAGCGTGGGAAAACTGAAGAAGGTCAGTGCTTATTTTCGGATTACAAGGTGAAGGTCAGCTTCTGAAGTGGTCTCTGTGATGTCTGACACTCAAGGATAGCAGAGGGGAGAGAGAGTGCTCAGCGTCTCCAGGAGCGGGGAGCAGGCGTTCACTGTTCCTGCTTTGCTGACTCCCATGCTTCTCTCTTGCTACCTTCATTGTTTGCCCGTGCTTTACAGATACAGGATTCATGACTGGAAGCATTCAAAAGTTTGCAGCCTCCCCAACTCTTAAGGCAGAAAGTAGCAAAAACAATATTTTGAGGATGGGCTGGGCTTGAAAGAGATGTCAGAGGGCCAGCTGGCCTCGAGGAGCACGGACCCCATTGGTCCAGCAGATCTGGTTTCCCTTCTCCCTCAGAATGCATTTGCCACTCAGACTACAAAAGGGCCCTTTGTAGAGCTGTCACAGCCTCCCGGGAACCAGAACTGGGCTGCCGTGAGGGATCTCGTTCCTGAGCTGTTAGTTAAAACTTGCTGTGCCTCACTTTACTGCTCGAATGTCTTTAAACCAGTGTGGCTCTCTGCTTGCAGGGTAATCAATGAGCTGATTGGAAATCTGGTCGGACATCTTTATTTCTTCCTAATGTTCAGATACCCGATGGACTTGGGAGGAAGAAATTTTCTATCCACACCTCAGTTTTTGTAAGTGTTTCCCGCCCCCCTCTCATTTAACAGTCATTTTACTGCCTGTGTTCTTATGTATCTTGATAAAAACTCCACGAAGGGTAGGATTTACCTCTTTGTCTAAAGAAATGTGAGCCGACAAATGACTCGCCCTGGTCACACAGTCCCAGGAAGCCAGGGAGCAGAGCCGCGCTCAGTCTTCTTCGTGGAGCCTCGCCGGGGTTACTGAGACGACATCAGGCACCACGGTGCTTCCAGCTCCGAGCAGGTGGCACCTGTGTACACCGGTTGGCTCATTGGTTAGCAGTTTAAAACATTTTTATGTTAAATATTATAGACTGGAATGTTTATAGGACTTTTCAAAGTCGAAACGAGAGACTCGCGGTTTGTAGAGTCCTGCCCACCTGGGAGCACGGGCCCGCTCCTCGTCTGCGTTTCGGGTTCAAGTGAGGAGGCCGAGGGCACAGCTTTGGCCGTGAGACAGACTTGGGTTGGAATCCCGTTCCCCTCATTTACCGGGTTTCAAGATTAGGAAAGTTACTTCAAAAAACCTCTGAGCTTCCTTGTGCGTCCGGAAGCTGGGGGAAGGCCGTCTCATGGGACTGCGAGAGCAAGGTGCACGGCTGGCAGGTGGCGCAGTAGTGGGCGCTCGGTAGATGTGAGCTCTTAGCCCTGGTCCCGAAGGTGGGGCAAGGGTGGGATTTCAACCAGCCGAGGGGACGCCGACACGCTTCCACGTGTAAGCAGTGTGACCATTCTATCCGTGAAGCAAAGGCTGTTGAAGAAGGGACCGGTGAAATCACCATCTGGGTGTCACAGCCCGCCTGACAGTCATGTCTAATCTCCAGCTGGGGATATGCAATAATAGCTTGCATTTAAAAGCTTTGGGAAAAAAATCAAAAAACCTTTTCACATCTTGCTTGTTTTAATGCTTTGCAGTTTGTCATTCTTCCAAGGAGTCTGTGAGGGCAGTGAAACTTGAGTGGGTCCCCCACCCCACCCCACCCCATTTTATAGATTATAGATAGGTTTTTTGAAAGATTTTTTTTTTGGAAAATATACAAACAAATATACTATTATATTTTTTTTCTTTGAGAGCATAAAAAGAAACTTGCTTCTCTTCTGAGCCTTGGGTTGCCTCCAGGCTAAAAAACAAATGACCAATCTGCTTTCTAATTATCAACGGACACACAATAACAGCAGGCTTGGATTTTTTATCTAGGTTTATCAAGTCGGATGGCAGATGCATCAATTAAAAAAAACTTGGTACTTTGGGGGGCAGCCAACAGTTATTTTACTTTAAATGGCCATGTTCTGACTTAACTGGAGATATTTCTCAATTGTGGGCAACAAAGTATATGAGATTCTAGTGGGAAAATCAACTGCTTGCTGGAGCTTGCCTTCCGTTTGAGCTTCTCTGTTGGTGGAAGCCCTTCTGTTAAATTTTGCATAAAGATCAGATGACAAAATGTAGCTCCTTGCAAAAGCAGTAACTGCTTTGAAATTGCCATAAATTTTTGTTGATTATATATAATTGGGTCTTTTTATACTAATTACTTGCATTTAATTTCACTATCTAAGCAGTGGAGATGGCTTCCACATTGTCTTACAGTAAGAAACAAAGCAGGACAGCCCTAGCGTTGCCTTTTTAAAGTGCTCGATTTTATTATATACCTTGAAGTATTATTATTACAGCAGAACGTCATGGATTTGAGAAGCCAGCACTTGGAAATAGTTTGATTTTAAGCTAAAGCTGTATTTATTTAAAGGGGAAGATGTGAATTGTAGAATTCTAAGATGTGTCACTATTCTGCATTCCATTTGGGAAAGGAGACAGATCCTTTCGTACGCAGTTCTTCTTCTGTTTAAAAGGGGTTCATTATCTTTTTGGGGAGGGAGCACGAATGCATCAAAGGTGATAGGAATCAGTGAGGGCTCCAGTTGCGAAGTGCTCTCACCTGAATTGCACCGTGTGTGACTTGTCTGCAGTTAAGTGGTGCAGGAAACAAGCTTGGAGCTAGGCTCCCTGGGTTCGAATCCTGACTGTCACCTTAGAAGAGCTTTACTCAATCCTGCCTCAGTTTTCCCATTTATAAAATGGGGTAATAGTAGTGCCTACCTCCTGGGGTTGTTGTGAAGATGAGATGAATTTGTAAACATGGACGCACCGGGTATAAGGGAAACGCTTTATGATAAGGTTGTGCTCTGTGGGCTTTTTGCTGTGGTCACGTCAGCCCTCAGGGTTTGTATCGGATCATGGTCTCTGCTTTCAAGCAAAATTTTAAATTGGGATCTGCTAAGTGGGATAAGGGTAAACACACCCTCAGTGCGCTGATAGTCAAGGAAGGGAAATAGTTGGGAAAACTGAGAACGTAGACTTGGATTTGAGTTTTCTCAGCCGTCCTGTGACTCGTAATTTATGAATTTGTAAGGTGGGAAATCAGCTAACCGTTTTGGGCTTCGACTTTCCCACCATCTATGAGATGGAAAGAATGCAGTCCGAGGGAAGATCATGAATAAACTGTAAGAACATACCCAGGCATAAAGCCGCCTTCTGCAGTCTCCTGTGATGGAGGCCGTAGGATGCAGTCGCATCGTACAGATGCCATGAGGGGCTCCCAGGCTGCACATTTGTCCTCTGAAAGTGAATTTATTTTGTATCCTTTGATCCATATTTAGATATATAAAAATACTGAGATGATTATATATATGTGGTTTTTTCCTGGTGGTTGGGCTTGTGGGAGTAATATTTTTGTTTCTGTACTGTTCTGCATGAATTAGTTCATAATCAGAAAAAATTTTTTTAGAGTGTGAATTTAGGTGAAAACTGAATAAATTTAAGAAACCTGAAGAGTAAGTGCCTTCTGTGGTCAGGTCATTGAGCTAAGTGCTGAAAAGGCAAGTTAAATAAGACGCTGTCCCCAGCCTTCTATTGGCCACAGACTAATATAGTTCAATGTGGCAGATTACGGGACGCCAGGAAAGGGGGATGTGCTACATTGTCTGATAACTGCGTGGCAGTGATTTGGTTGTCCTCTCTCCCTTTGTCCCCCACCCCCTCTAGGTACCGCTGGCTGCCCAGCAGGAGAGGAGGGGTGTCGGGATTTGGCGTGCCCCCTGCTAGCATGAGGCGAGCTGCTGATCAGAATGGTGGAGGCGGGAGACACAACTGGGGACAGGGCTTTCGACTTGGGGACCAGTGAAAGGGTGGCCTCCGGCCTGCCCACCAGCCACTCTGCTCAGATGAGTTGTTTCTCCCAGTGCTGGGTGTGTTTAACAGCCGAGTCCTAGCAAACACCGTTGGACCTGACCCACACTGAATGTAGTCTTTCAGTACAAGACACAGTTTTTTAAATCCTGAAGAAAAATAGAAGTGTTCCTCAAGTTTCATGATTCTCATTCAGGTCCTTACTGCTATGAAGAACAAAGGTCAACTGTGCAAATTTCAGAACTGACTATATTTTTTCGGTGTCTTCTCTTCCAAAAACCTGAATCTGAATAACAAGTTTTGGCAGACCGTGGTCGGCTGTCACCAACCTGGGCGTCTGGGATTGGGTCTTCAGTCCTTGTCAAAGGGACCCATACCTCTTTCTCGCACACATGCCTCCCTCCCACTATTTCCAACCCCTAAATTTGCAACTAGAAGAGGTTGCCCATAAAATGATTCTGCCTTTGACAAGCTCTCTTATTTATTGACTTTTGCCAAGGCTGGGTCACAAAGAACTCGTTGACACCCCTTTTCTTTGCCTTTGGTGGCAGAACTGTAACAATAGGGGAGAAGACGGGAGCAGTGGATGAAGAGCTTCCCCCAGCTTTTGCATTTGTGACCTGATGTCAGTTGCAACCACTTGCCACCTCTTCAGATGTTTTTATAAAAAAAGCACCTCTGAATGGGTGAAGGCCGCAGATTGGTATTAATGAGTCATGAAGGTTGTTGCTAGACATGTTTTTTCTAAGTTAAGTGATCAAAACTATAGCGGAGTTGCATCTTCCAAAGGGGCTAGGTGTAAACCGTGGTGGGCATAATCCCTTTGCATCTCGTGTGTGGGTCGTACTGGCTTTGTGTGTACCCAGAGTAGTTAGATGTATTGCGCTAGAAAGTTCCAAATCACATTTGCCACAGGGAGATGCTCTCTCTCAGAGGCACCTGGGCACTGATTCCATTTCATTCTCATTGTGGATATATGTTTATTGAGTAGAGTGGAAGGGAGAACCTTATACCCTATTTAAACTGTCATTTTTGACCCCTTCTCCCCCCTTTAATGGCCATGTGCTTCAGCTGATTGGGAGGAAGGTGCAGCTCCTCTGTACATAGATCATATTTTAAGAGCTAATATAAGCACATCTAAGTGAATCACTAATTTTGGGTTGTAATGGCTTTAGAATCATTTGTGTTTGAGGGTCTTTATCATTTTGAGTTATGAATGTACATCAGACCAGTTTAAATACCTACAAAACCTTTCTCATAGATGAGCTTTTTCTATTATAGCTAGACTTATCACCAAATAAAGTTTTTTGAAGGCTACGGTGTTTCAGTTTCTTATTTTTACGTTTTATTCTGAGAACGGACTGCTAGGAGCAGTATTGAGTGGCTACTCTACTTTAGTCGACTAAAAAGGCTTTGAACGTTTGAAACATTGTATGCTAACAGGGTGACTGTTCTTTGCCCCTCTCTTAAACCGTGACGTGTATTGTCCTAGGAAGTGGGGATTTGAAAACAGCTCCTCATTTTTAATAAAATTTGTGTGTATTTCCTCATATTTAATTTATACGATAGAATAGGAGCTGGGGAGAATCTGAACCTTAACCTGTCATGTTCTGTTGTTGACCTGTGGCCACAATAAAATTTACTTGTTAAATTTCAGAAGCAGTTATTCCTATGGTGTCGCATGTGCGACTCATGGTGCGGAGTGGGGACTCATTGTACGTGTGAGAAGGTTCTCACGGGGAGTGAGCTGGGGTCTGTTTATTAGACGTCCTCTTAGCAACTCAGCTGCCTGAGAGCAGTGGTTTTTCTAGCGGTTGTTACAAGTATAATTTAGAATTCTTCAGTTCAAGGCAAAATGTTCGTTAAATTCTTCCTCTTAAACATGTTTAAGAATCTGATAATTTTTTTTTTTTTTATAATTTTATTAATCTCGTCTGGATTACCTGTCTTTCTGGAATAATTTTAGCTAAGCAAACTGTGAGATTTGATTTGGCAAGGCAAGACATGGCAGTAGATTCTCTTTATGAATGAAAAAATCCTTATTTTGTATAGAGAAATTCCCTTTTTGTAACAAATCGTTTTTATTGATAAAAATTGTGAATTAAAATGTACAACTCGATGGGTGTCTGTCATAAGTTTTCGTATCCCTCCTCTGCTGCCTCTTTGATATACTACATAATTGCTGTAACCAGTCATATCTTGGGCATTTAGGATTGTCCAATATGTGTTGCTATTACAGCAATACAGCTAACATTTGTTATACCTATTTCCGTTCAAGTGTTGGAGGGTATCTGTAGCGTTCATTCCTGGAAGGTGACTTTTCTGAGTTTTAATTTTAATGAAGCAGGATGCTTCAGAATACTGGGTTAGGAGATTGTAGTGTGATTCATGGCCTTTCTGTAGCTTCCACCCATGGGTCTGTGAGTCCCAGAATCCTACTGAATTAGTTTTGCCCCCCTGCCATGTAAAAACTCACGGAGACTGGAAGGCAGATGCCATGGCTCCCTGAGCCTTTTCCAGGTGACCATCCAAGTCTGTATCCCAGGCTTCAGGCAGGCCCTCTTCATTCATCACGAGGTGGAGTGCCGGGAAGGAGCAGGGCTGCGCACCCCTCTTCTGGTACTGGAGAAATAACTGGAAGAATAGGAACGACCTGCTTACTTCAGAGGACAGCACATCGCCAGCGTTGCCGTGTTCCACGCTTCCTCTTGAGTAATGCCGACCGAACAGGCAGCGTCGCAGTTGCCAGCGGCTTCGTTCCTTGCCAGCCGTTTTTCAGGTCCTTTCCCCTTCTAAATTTTCAGCATTAATCCTCAATAACGGTTAACCTTTGGGAAAATTTACTCCTTGTCACTGTTAGTATCGCCAAGTGCTACTTTTTGATGGGCCGTGAAAACGTGTGCTTCCTGGCAGTTGACGTGTTTGGTTTCCGGAGTGGCTCTGGTGCTTTTAATTGGAACGGGGGGAAATACTGTGTCGTGTCATTGCTTACGTGTGCGGGTTAAGCCCAGAATGCTTTCCCATGTCCCCTCCTCTTCCTCACAACCCTGTTCATTAGGGTAGAATCCCATTTTCAGTAGCGTACCTAGGTATGGAACATTAGTGTGACAGGTACTTTATGAATAATGTAAGTCTCCAATCTATGGTTTCCCATTCTTTCTATATGTGAGAATCACTTGAGACTTTTTCAAAATTCAGATTTCTTACATCTTTCACATTCTGCATATTTCTAAAGTTCCCAGTGATTCTGCTATCCACCTGGGTTTGGGAACCAATGGAGACCAACTTGTGAAATAGATGGTATTATCCCCACTTCCCAGGTAAGGAAATTTGAGACTCAGATTAAGTCACTTACGATCAAGCAGCTAGACGGTGCCAAAGACGAGGCAGGAACTCGACTCTGAGTTCAGATCTCTCCCTCCTGCCGCTTCACATTTGAGGAATCCGACATTCAGTATCTAAAGCACCAAAAAAAAGAGTCTTCCCTTGCCAGGCTGAAGGCAGGCCAGAACGTTGGGGAACATTAGTTGAAAGTATAAATTAGCTTTCCATCAACCCTACGGGGAATTGCCTTGTGGCCTGGAAAAAGGGAAAACAGTATATGCGTATATGTTATATATAATATATTAACGTATATTTGTATAATGGTGTCTGTTGTTTATTGAGTCGTGCTTAGGCACATGCAAATAGGACCTGATGTCTGTCTTCAGTCTGTTTCCTCTACTGAGGCAGACAGCGTGGTTCATTGTAGGTACTCACATACTTGCTGCATAGGTGAACATAAATTATAATTTGATAAATTACTAGAATAGAAATAAGTGGAAAAATTGTCTTGGATTTTGGGCTACTGAGAATCATTAAAAGGTTTTCACATTTGTTCTTTAAAAAGGAACTGGTTGCAACATGGGAGTAGTGGGGTGGGGAGCAGCAGACCAGATGACTGAGTTTTGAGTTGGTTGCTTGGTGCAGGTCTGAGGTTAGGTGTAGGTATAAGGTTGACCTGAACCAAGGCAGTGGGATTGGAGGCTGGGGGCTGCACCGGAGAGACCTCTGTGAGAATTGCTGGGACTGAATGAGGAAGAGGCGGGATTGTGAGCAGGGATTCCCACTGGGCGTCAGGACTCCATATAAGTTTCCCTTAGAAGAAAGACTGGTTAAAATGCAGGTAGTTTTGGTGCAGCACATTTTAAGAAATTGGGAGCTGGTGGACCAGCTGGGAAACCTAGCCACTCTGTGTTTCTGTAGAAAAATACATTATGAACGCTAAGTCCATGAACTTGAAAGTGAACTTTTAGAATATGAGCTCTTTATGAATTGGGGACAGCTATGTAGAAGCCCCCAGTGAAACAGAATTCTCAGTTCCCATTGTTCACTGCTCCACCCTTCAGGTCTCTCCCAGCTTAAACATCATTTCATCAAGGAGAAGCCTTTCTAGATTTGTAGGCGAGGAAGACTGTCATCCCATACAGTCCACAGGCACCCTGATCTCTGCTTCGGGACACTTACCACCCCTACAGTCATTTGCGTGATCTCTCTCCAGTGGTCTGTTAGCCTCATGAGGACAGTGACGGCCTCTTATCATAGCCGTATTCCCAGTGCCTGCCACATAGAAGTGCTCATATGTTTGTTGGGCTCAGTTGAAATTTGGACTGGGTGGTAGTTTGGGTAGGCATCGGTCCTCTTTCAGGGAACAGCTAACTGGTCTCTCAGGACCCTTTTTGTCGTTCATGTAGGGGAAGCACGGCCCTCTGAAAGAGGAAACTAGAAGAGGTTGGAGATACCAGGAAGAATGGATTCAAAATTAAGATAGTTTTTAAAAAGCAGCTAAGCAGCTTCTACCTACAACATGTAATTATCTGCTTATGGGTGTGAGCACTTGGGGTGATTCGGGCCAAAGGAGACGTGGTATAGACTGAAGGCGGGCAAGAACATTTGGGAGGATTAATTGAAAGTATAAATTTAGCTTTCTCTCTCCCAAGGAACTTCCCTATAGCCTATATAAACAACACGCGCATTGAGAAAGAAGAAACCCCTGCCACATCATCACTGGGGCCGGAGTGACCCACAGGGGATATAGAATTGAATCTAGGTGCGAGGCTTAAGGATCACTTAGGAAATGTCTACTAAGCATGATTTGTCATTTGAAGCCTTAAGCTGACCCAAGTGAATTTGATCCCTCTCTCTTCTCTTTCAGTGTGTTGGCCTTTTCCTGGGCACTGGCACTGGTGTGGTGAGTGTCCTTGTTAACTAAGGGCAATCACAGTGAGCTTAAGAGAGACCATGGGTTTGATGGAAGCTGTCCTCATGTAGACACAGTAAACCTGGCTCTTGGGATGTAAGATGCATCTGTCCCCACAGCAGGCCGTCATCTCCTGGAGGTGCCCAGATCTCTTACTGGAGAGGAGGGATTGGGACTTTTCCTGATCATTTTCATCAGTTAGAGTTCTTTGATGGCTGGTTCCCAAAAAGGATGCTGGTTAACTTCAGCCAAAGGGAATTTATCGGAAGGATATGGAATACCTCACAGATTCCAAGGGTCTGCTGGGAAACCTGACATGGAAAGGGTCCCAGGGATTCAGGGAGCAAGAACTGATTATACCACATCTGCTGGGTTAAATCAGCCCCACCCTTAGTCTACACTTGCATCTCTCCCTTTAAGACTCAGCTCCTGAGTCTTATTGGCCTAGCTTGGACCTTGTGCTTCTCTCATGGCTAGGAATTCAGGGAAAAATAGTTGACTGACAGTCCCATGTAATGCGGGAGGGGTAATTTTCCAAAAGCAAACCAAAGCGCCCTTGCTTCCTAAGAAGGGGGAAGTAGATGCTGGGTGCCTGTAACACCCCAGCTTGCCCACTAGCACATGTTAACCACATGTGTGGCCTCCTGAGGAGCCTCTGGCTTTGCTTCATTCCCAGCCAGGGACACAATAATATTTCCTTCCATCTTCTCCCTCAAGCTCATCTCTATAGCATTAGCAAGCAGTGTAGATTTTGCCAAATATTTTGGAGGGAGAGGGTAGAGAGGGTCGACATTGAACATCACAGGGAAAGTGACTCCCACTTCTTGAGAGGAAGGACTATGTCTGTTTACCATCACATCCCTGGTACCTAGCACAGGGCTTGGTATGCATAGGCTTCTTGAGATAAATATTTTTTGAAGGAATGAATTGATTTCATAACCTAAACTCTCTTGAGCTATCAACTGGCTCCTTGCCTTTCTCTTTTCTGGTCTCTAACGTCTTGGTCAATTTAGCTCCAGCTCTAAAACTCTATACTCAGCAAAATAAAAGCGTTACAGTTAATCAGACCCACCTACATTAGAAACGCTTATCAAGGGTGTTCACCAAATATAGAACAAGACTATGTTGGGGAAGCAGGGCAATTCTGCTACTAAAAAAATTATTATGTTTATTTTTTTAAATGTTTGATTATTACACAATCCCTTAAATTCTGATCTGCCCCCTATAGTGGGTGGAATGGTGACCCCAAAAGATAAGTCCGTGTACTAGTTCCCAGAACCTATGAATGTGACCTTATTTGAGAAAAGGATCTTCGTAGATGTCATTAAGTTAAGGATCTTGAGAAGTGGGGAGATTGTCCTGGATTATCTAGGTGGGCTCTGAATCCAATGACAAATGTCCCGTAAGAGGCACACAGATGATATTTGATACACAGAAGAGAAGACAAAGACACAGAGGAGAAGGTGATGTGAAGCCAGAGGCAGAGATCAGAGCCATGCGGCCACAAACGAGGAGGCCAAAGAATGCCTGGCGCCAACAGAAGCCGGGAGAGGCAAGGGGTGGTGTCTCCCCTAGAGACTCTGAAGAAGGTGTGTCATCTAACTGACACCTTGATTTTGGACTTCTGTCATCCAGAACTGTGAGAGAATAAATTTCTATTGTTTTATGCCATCAAGTTTGGGGTGATTTGTTACAGCGGCCATAGCAAACTAATACACTCTATAAAGTGGAGCAACCTCACAACTGCCTTCTCTGAATTCCTTAAATGCGATGTGCTCTTTCTGCCTCTCACACCTGGAACGTTCTCAGCTCTTATCACTGGCCTAGCAAGGGGTATTGGTAATCATATTTTATACCTTCAAATGAGCTGATCAAACTGC